TCCGATTTCCACCGGGAATGCCTCGGTGTCACCAACTGTAGTCCTGACGTATGTAGTAGATCTATAGTACATATCACGAATCGCCCGGATATAAGCAGTTGGGATCCGTCTCTTTTCCAAGGTCTTCCAGATCGTATCGCGGGGAACGCTATTATACGCCTTCTCAAGGTCAATAAACGCCATATGAAGATCTCTATTTTTTCCCTATATTTCTCCATAAGCCGTCGAAGTAGATGAATCGCCTCCGTAGTAGACCTGCCTGACATAAAGCCAAATTGGTTTTCCGAAACCCTAGTAACCTATCTCAACCTAGCCTCTATCACCCTTTCCTATAGTTTCATTGTATGACTTAGTAGTTTAATACCTCTGTAGTTGTCATAACGTTGTGGATCTCCTTTATTCTTATAGATTGGTATCACCGTAGACTCTCTCCACTCCTCTGGCATCTTGGCAGTCTCTAAAATAATATTAAAGATATTGGTCAACCACTTAACTCCCTCCTCTCCTAGGGCCAACCACACAGTGATAGAAATTTGATCTTGACCGACAACTTTGTCCCTCCCCATCTTTCTTAGAGCCATTTTGACTTCCTCAAATTCTTAATTCTCAAATTTACCACTTTACTCTTAATTTTTCTAAATTATAAAAATTTAAAGATATGATTAAACTTAAAAAAATCATAGCCTTAGAATTGGGACGTGACATTTAATATATGATATAATATTTCAGCTTTAAACATTATCAAACAATATTGCTTTTGGAAATATTGAAATTAAAAAATATATGGTTTAGTGATAAATCACTTTTTATACCAAGGTTAATATTACGATTTGAGATAATTTTTAATAAATAATCAAAGAAATAATATTCTAATGTTAACCACAATATTAAGAATTAATATAATTAAAATTTCAATAATAGATAACAACATTGTAAATGTTTACTATTGACTCAGTATTCAATTATTAAATACTTTTATTAAAATAATAATAGTTGAAAATATATGATATTAGTTTTGATTTTTAGCATAAAATAAGGATTATTCATTTTACTTATGAGGTCCACTTTAAAATTTTATTTATACTTATTTTATTTTTTATTATTAATAATATATATATTATCTTTAAAAGTATTTCTATATCCGTAACTAATTATAATATCATTGAACACAATAGACATTAGATAAATTTTAATAAAGTATTGTAAGGAATTAAAATATAAAAAGGTATAAAGATTAAAGTGAGACGAATCTAGCATGTAGCATTGCTGGCCACCTTTAACGGAAACATGAACACGTCCTCCAACATGGCGGTGGCGTAGCTTCCTTCACTCTGACTTATTTTAAAAATAATACATTTAAAGTATTTAAATAGGTATTCAAAATATTTATTCTTTATTTAGATAGTTTAAATATTTTTTATATCAGATTAGGTGTTTTACATGTGATATTTATTAAAAAAATATTTTACCTATCTAAATGGAAAAATATAATATACTTTTAATAAAAATGTGAATATTTTAGGTACATAATTTAAAAAAGATATTTAGATAAAATACATGATATATTTGAGATGCTAATTTTTTAATTTAATTTGAAATTTAAATAACTATAAATTTTAATACTTTTATGTTCTAATCATCATGACGTTTCTTCCCTTGCTAGGAAGTTTGATAGGGTTCTTGTTTCGCCCCTCATGCTTTGGTCTCTTTTTTAACCTCTACTGTTTCTGATCATTGTCCAAGAGTTGTTTCTCTTGGGGCTGATGCGCTCTGTTCCTAAACCTTTCGTTTATTTAATTTCTGGGTTAAGGATCCATAGTTCCTTATTGTGGTGGCTAGTAGTTGGCAAGTTCCTCTTTCCGAGCATAATCCTCTAAAGTCTTTATTTTTTAATCTTAAAAGGCTTAAGCCTGCTTTGAAAGGGTTAAATCAAAGTAGATGTGACATTCTGCCTGCTCGGGTTAGGGATAAGAGATTAAAGTTGGAACAGGTGCAATTGCAAGTCTTATCTGGGGTCCCTCACGCTCAATTGTTAGCGAGAGAGAAATCTGTTTTTGGGGAGCTTCAAGAGTTAGTGAATGCTGAGGAGAGTTTTTCATACAGAAAGCTCGAGCTTTTAGGGTCTATAAGGGTGAGAGCGATACTACTTACTTCCTTTTTATGGTTAAGCTCATGTAAATAGACAATCTATCTGTGCTATTCATTCTGATCAGAGACAACTCTTGACCACTTATGATTAGATTGCCGACGAGGCTGTAGATTATTTTCAGAAGCTGCTTGGTGCTAGTAATGCTAATGTTGATGGCTGCTATGTTGAGCTCCTTAGGGAGTTTTTGGGTTCTTCTCTTTAGCAAATTACTTATCTACTAACTATTTTAGATCATACAAAAAATTAGGATATTTCCTATAACCATAGACACAAAAAATTAGTCACTTTAGATCATACAAGAAAAATATTAAAAATGTATCCAAAAACTCGAACAAAATATAAATATAAATAAATCTGATTGTATTGGCAAACAAACCACAACATAGGATCAAGCTACTGAACAATCACAAATCAAATTTGAGTGTTATGAGAAAATTATCTTCGAACACAAATCATATATCCACATTCAATTTAAGAGTCCAAAGTAGGGAATATCAATAGGATAACAAATAAATTCATTTTAATCAATCGAGGTGACATCCCAACACTGAAAAAATTTATCTTATTCTTTTTAACTATAAGGTGATGACACATATTATTATCATATTTCAACAACAACAAAACCCTATTCTCGTATGCAATGGGGTAAGGGGAGGTAGGATAGTAGGCTGCCCCAACGCCAGGTTGAGAGTAGCTTCCGTGGAAGACCTCCAACAGTCAAAAATTAAAAATAAATATAAAATGCAATGCATGTATAAATAAATAAATAAATAATATAATATTAAATTTGTTACAGAAAAATAGATTTTAACATATAATATTAGTTTACATTAATATAATGGTAGTGACCAAACTTCAAATAGTCTTAAAATTAAGTTACTCTAATGTTAAATTTTAAAAGTTTAATAATCAAAATTAAAATATTTTAAAATTTAATGATTAGAATAAAACCTTTTAGAAATTAAGTGACTATAAATTAATTTATCCCAACAATTTTAAAATATTAGAGAAAGAGAATCTGAGCTTATCTTAGCCGTGTTGTGGGACCCACTCCTAATTCCATTATTTCTTCAGAGTGTTTGCCTCCTTCACCAAAGCCAACTAGTACTTTCTTTTAAAACCAAACGATGAAGATGATGATGATGATGATGATGATGATGATGATGATGATGATGATGATGATGATGATGATGATATATGATGATGATGATGATGATTGATTTTATTTTCGTTTAATTTTTATATATTTTTATTCGTTAAATTAAAAAAATGTAATATTAGACCATTTTTTATTTTATTTAATTAAAATTTGATCATTTTTGTTTTTATTTAATTAAGATATGATCACTTAGAGTTAATAATCAGTAGATCTTTAATAGATTACCGACGTGACATCATGAATTTATAAAATTAAAAAGGTTGTAAGTACTCGTTTTTCTCATTAAACTTTCAAAAATAACAAAAATTAGTTACTAAAACATCAAATGAGTATTTTATATCTAGTTGATTCCAAAAACTTTCTATTTTTTATTTATCATTCAAAATATTATATTGCTTCATGTCCAAAAAAGGTTAATTTCTAAGTTTTATTTTTAACATTTAAATAGTACATGCAAAAATTGGAAAACAAATGAAAAAATTAGAAAGCTTTTGGGATAAATTAGATATAGAATCAATGTTCATGGGCGCATTTGATGTTTTAATGACCAATTTGTTACTTTTGAAACTTAGTGAGAAAAATAAAAATTTATTCAAATATTAGTGACCATTTGTGTAGCTTTCCCATTTTAATTTTATAAATTCATTGTACTACGTCAACGATCTATTAAAGTTCTAACGACAGTTAAATCTCAATGACAAAATCTTAATTAAATAAAACAAAAGTGACAAAATATGATGCTTTTTTAATTCAATTAGGAAAAATATATAAAATTTAAATAAAAATGATCAATTTTGTAATTTACTCTTATAATAATTAGTACGTTTGATAATGGGGTTGAGGTTTGTTAACCAATAGTTCTAATCATTTCTGAAACAATCCTATCCTATTTGATTATAGAGTAAAGTACACAAATGATCCAATGACTACAGGTGTCTTCCGACTATTAAAAGTTAAAAAATGATATTCTGACTCTAGGTAATTACTTTGTTAATTCTCTCAACTATTAAAAGTTACAAAATAATCATATAGCTCTTCATTATGTTTCAAACTCATCATTTTCTGTTAAGAATCAATGATAATTTGCGCTAGACGTTAAAATACTAACTGATATATGATCGTCATTTGATATTATAAGATCAAATTTTATCATATCTCAATCAGTAATTTAGTATCTAACTCATACAACTGTTAATTTTTTAACGAAAAAAATATGAGTTTGGAATATAATGAATAATCGGGTGACCATTTTATAACTTTTAATAGTCGAAAAACTTAATAAAATAATTCTCTAAAGTCAAATAATTATTTTCTAACTTTTAATTATCGAAAAACTAACAAAATAATATCTTATTATATATCATTTGTAAACTTCACCCTTATTTTAATTGATTTTCGTGAAAAGATATCAACGGTCTTGGGGATTGGCTTGTATATTGTCCCACGTAGCTAGCCCACTCAGTGAACCATCTTCTGAGCCCTATTTCTCTAATAAGTCGACCTTCATTTCTCTTTTTCGCTCTCTCTCTCTTTAGAAGCATGAGGCGAGGACCCACTATGTTGAATCTCGTAAGTCTCTTTTGTTTTATTTACCCTTTACTTTTAAGTTGAGTTTTTAAGCTTTGCTACATCTAAAAGTCTAAAAGATTGGATTTTTGTAACTGGGTATTAGCAGAATGGAATTGGTCAACGAAATAGTGAGATTTCTTGTTTGATTCAAGTTTGCAAGGGTCAAGCTCTTACTGGAGATTTGAAATGAGCTCTGGGATTTTGGCTCAATCTAAAGAGTGATTGTGGTGATTTGATTTGAGTTTGAATTCAGGAAACCAGTTTTTGTTTTTCTCTTTAGTTACTTTGTTTCTTTTATGCCTTAGGATTGGAGAGAACAGGGCAGTTTTTACTAATTTAATGATGCAAAAGAATGGATTGCTTGAGTTCATGGATAAACTTGATTTGTTTCTTGATCATGCTGAAAAATTTCAGATTTGGGGTATATTGATTTTTTTGGGGTTTTACTCTGATGATTTAGCTGTTCTTTCTGTTTTTCCATAAATTAGCTTCTTTTTTTTTTCATTTCTGTATTGGATTTTGATTAAACATTTCCTAATCCCTTGATGTTTACCAGTTATTTAGATCTTGATATCTAAGAAGGCCTGAACATGGATCTTGAAGAGAAAGTTCCCCAACAAGCACCTTTTACACAGCATCAGCAGAAATGGGAAGATCCATCCATTTTAGATTACAGCACCAGGATCAAGCCTCCTTTCCAGCCATTCAACCAAACTCATCCTGCAATGTTGTCTGATAACCAAGACGAAGTCCTTATCCAAGATGGCGCCGTTAATGAATTGCTTCAAGCCAGTGAAGTCCAAGATTGGGATCCAAGTGCAATGCTAAACAATCTTTCATTTCTTGAGCAGAAGATCCACCAGCTTCAGGATTTGGTGCATTTAATCATTGGCCGGAAGGGCCAAGTGTTGGGGCGACCAGATGAACTTGTTGCTCAGCAGCAACAGCTAGTTACTGCTGATCTTACGTCGATTATAGTTCAGTTGATATCTACTGCTGGTAGTCTTCTCCCATCTGGTAAGCGTACACTTTCTGCAGCCACTCCATCTCTCGAACAGTCTGGGCAGTTTGGTGGAGTCGTCTTCCCTTCTGCGCAAGGGCTGAATGATGGGGTTCAGCCACAAAATGGTTGTGGAAGCAAAGTCTCTGAGCTGCCAAACCCTGTTAATGTTAGTCGTAAGAATGGAAATGAGCAGAATCATGTTATCGAGGAACATGAATTGAAAGATGAGGAGGAAGATGTGGAGGAAGGAGAAAGCCTTTTACCTGGCACATATGAGCTATTGCAGCTAGAAAAGGAAGAAATCCTTGCACCCCACACTCACTTCTGCACTATATGTGGAAAAGGATTCAAGAGAGATGCAAATTTACGAATGCACATGAGAGGTCATGGAGATGAGTACAAAACACCAGGAGCACTTGCAAAACCCACAAAAGATTCCGGTTCTGAACCAGCTATTATTAAGAGGTATTCCTGCCCTTATGTTGGTTGCAAGCGGAATAAAGATCACAAAAAGTTTCAGCCTCTGAAGACGATTTTATGCGTAAAAAACCATTACAAGAGAACCCATTGTGACAAGAGCTACATTTGCAGCAGATGCAATACCAAGAAATTCTCAGTAATTGCTGATCTGAAAACTCATGAGAAGCATTGTGGTAAAGATAGATGGCTTTGTTCTTGCGGCACCACATTTTCAAGGAAAGATAAGCTGTTTGGGCATATTGCTCTTTTCCAAGGTCACACTCCAGCCATTCCTTCAGAAGAAGACAAAGAACCCGCCGGGCCATATGATCGAGGGGATGGTGATCAAGCCGCAAACAAGATTGGAAGCATGAACATCAAATTTTCCTCTAATGTTTCTAGTGAAACTGAGGCTCAAAGTAGTGTGGATATTAAAGGGAGCATCGATGATCCCGCTGGTTATTTCTCACCGTTGAACTTCGATACATGTAATTTTGGTGGGTTTCATGAGTTCCCTCGGTCACCATTTGATGATTCCGAGAGTTCGTTTGCATTTCTCCTTTCCGGGTCCTGTAGTTACTCTCAGAAAAGTGAAGACTAAAAGCCTTAATAATCTTGACTGTGGCTAATGTTTCCAGAATGTATTCTTCCTTCATTGGAGTAGGTATTCAAGGATATTAATTTGTGTTAAATTTGTCCGGTAAGGCAGCCTTACGTACATGGTTGCTTAAATAAATGCTATTTTCAACGAAATAAGGTCTATTGCTGTAACTTTCTTAGAACATATTCTCAAGATCTCCATGCGCTTGATTGAGAAAGAAAGAAAAAAAGTATTGTTCGCTTCAATGGTATATGCCCTTGAGATGCAAGAAAAGCTATAATTCTTGTCAAAATATAACAGCTAGTACGTTTCTCAAATGTTTTAGCGGATTGATCTGATCTGCCCATAGTGAGAATTATGAAGCAGAATGAGTTTCAAACCCTTGATATCTCCTTTGGATGACTTCTTTAGGGGGGCAACGATTGTATGTCCCTCAAAACCACATCATCCATGACTGACCAGGTGTGTCCTCTAGGAGAGCTATCAGCCCACATGAACCGCTCCGAGAAGGGGTTCACCAGACTCTCCCGAAATTCTTGCACTGTCTCACAGATCAAGCCCTGAAAACAAGGAAACATATAAGAAACTAGACAAAGTGATAAATTGTGTCATGGTGCAAAAACGCAGTACCTCTGCCATGGCTTTGATCTTTAGAGTAACGTCATTGCTCAGCAGGACCAATTGTTCATCACCATTACTCATTTTTCTACGAAGTAGGGAGTAATCAAGGATATGATCTTGTGCTGTGGGTGTAGCAACTTCCATTAGACTTCCCCAAGCTGAAAATGGCCCAAACATCCTGCCTCCGCTGAAATGAGAATGAGGAGTGGCGGGTGGTGTGGGTGGCCCTCCTTCCTCTATAGTGCTCTGGACATGGATCCACCATTTTGTTTTTACCATGCACTCTTCAACCCATTCCAAAACCGATGAGGCTTCGTTTGTTCTCCTGAATAGAGTACCACGACGCTTCAAACAATCCAACTCCCTTATGACTTTTAAAATCAAAAGTTGCACATAGAGAAAAAAAGAACATGGCTAGTTAATATTGAGATTATGAATCACGGTCATACTCATACGATAAAAGAGATTATTATGCTCCTAGTTTAGTTACCCATCCTTGGAATGATCAATAGAGTCTCTTTGAGACCTTGTAAGAGCTTTAAGGATTTCCTTGATTCCTCGTCCATCAAAGAACTGGTGTCAGCTACCATGGCCCAAGTCCTTTGCTTTCCAACAAACTTGTGCTGCAAATGAATTTCGGTTAGTACACATATATCCTTGGCTAGAATACTGCAAGAATTAGTGATGAATTCTTGGGCTAAAGTATAATGCTTTCTCAGAACTCACCAAAGATGGATAACCAATCCTCTTCTCTATTTTCTTAGTATTCAAAGTAGTAGACTTGCAACTTCGAACTGAAATATTGGGGACCGGAGCTTCTGATACATTTTCGCAAGCAGAGTCCAATAAAGGTTGAAGTGTCCCCCTCTCTGCTTTTCCATTGATCACAGTCTCTTGTTCTAACTTCGGTTGATTTCTAGAGGCCTTGCTTGTGTATTTGTGCTCTTTTATAAGTTTGGGTGTCTGATTTTCTTTGTCCAAGGTAATCAGGTCTTCAGGCTGAAGACGAGGACTAAAGTAATCTCTGAAGAAGAATGCTCGGTTTCTTCCAGCTTGCTCTTTCTTTTCAACACTTCCATCAAAAGAGAATTTGGGGTGAAATTCTCCTTGTCTGGGGTGAAAATTTCTTCTTCTTCTTCTGAGCTAACAAGAAGAGATTTTGGAACTCTTTTAATTTCATTAGCAGCAGATTTCCCAGTTTGAATCTGAAGAACAGATGCAGGTTTACCTCTTCTGGACCAAATGCTTTGGAAGTTGGATTTAGTCTCTAATCTCAAGGGAGAGCCATCTAAATTTTCAGACTCAGACAGCACAGCAGGAGCAAGGAGAGTGTGTGGGGTTGGACTCCTTTTATCATCTTCGGCAATGGGCAAAGATGAGTTGACTGATTCCGTTGAGCGAGAAACAGAATAAAAACCTGTGTGTTGGCTTCCATAGTCTTTCTTTGATAGTTTCTCATAGTGATTACATCCATCAGTTGCTGCATTTTCCTTATTTTCGGTTTCTCCCCTTGGTTTCAAAGCAGAAAGAAGCTGCGGAATCTGTTTTTCTTCATGCACTTGCGGAGACTTTAGTACATTCAAAACCATATCTTCGTCTTGCATGCGAGTTGATTTAATTGATTCCATCAGCTGAGGCTGGGTGGAAACTCTTGAGTTATCTAAATTCTCGGACTCAGACAGCACAGCAGGAGCATGGAGAGAGTTTGGGGTTGGGCTCCTTTTATCATCTTCGGCAATGGGCAAAGATAAGTTGACTGATTCCGTTGAGAGAGAATCAGAATAAAAACCTGTGTGTTGGTTTCCATAGTCTTTACTTGATAGTTTCTCATCGTCAGCATCCTCAACCTTTCCATCAAGATAGTGATTACATCCATCAGTTGCTGCATTTTCCTTGGTTTCGGTTTCTTCCCTTGGTTTCAAAGCAGAAAGAAGCTGGGGAATCTGTTTTTCTTCATGTACTTGCGGAGACTTTGGTATATTCAAAACCATATCTTCGTCTTGCAGAGTTGATTCCATCAGGGGAGGCTGGGTGGAAACTCTTGAGCCATCTAAATTTTCGGACTCAGACAGCACAGCGGGAGCAAGGAGAGTGTGTGGGGTTGGAATCCTTTTATCATCTTCGGCAATGGGCAAAGATGAGTTGACTGATTCCGTTGAGAGAAAAACAGAATAAAAACGTGTGTGTTGGCTTCCATAGTCTTTCCTTGATAGTTTCTCACAGTCAGCATCCTCAACCTTTCCAGCGAGATAGTGATGATTACATCCATCAGTTGCTGCATTTTCCTTGTTGTCGGTTTCTTCCCTTGGTTTCAATGTAGATAGAAGCTGGGGAATCTGTTTTTCTTCATGTACTTGCGGAGACTCTAGTATATTCAAAACCATATCTTCATCTTGCAGAGTTGATTTAATTGATTCTATCAGGTGAGGCTGGGTGGAAACTCTTGAGACATCCATCTTTTGCTCGTTCTCTTCAACTGTCACAGTAGCTGAATAGGTTTCCAGTTCTTTTAAAAATGAAAGTTCCCTCTTTCCAAGGCTGTCCTCAGTTTCATATGTTGAACAATTCATATTTTCAGGCATTGGGGATGCTGATTGAATCTCTTTGTTCATAACTAGTCCTGAACCCTCCAACAGCCAATCCATTGAGAAAAGTTCTTTCTCTTCAGCAGCCACTGAAGTCTGAAAATGATCAGTAAAGATAAGTTTAAAAACAATTTCAGTGCGTACACTTACTGCTTTAGAAGCAATATACCTTCACCTGAGATGTTTCTTCTTCTTCTTCCTTCTTTTCCACCATCAATGAATCTTTCTCTTCACCATATTCTCTTTTAGTTGATAACGTATTCACCCCCTATGGAGTTTAATTTCCCCAAAAAGAAGAAAAAAAAGAAAACATCATTTCAATCACAAATGTTTCCAGATTGTTTTCCTTAAGCTATCGATAATCCATTCTCTGATTCTCTCTAATTAATTCATCCATGACCAATCAATAAATTTTATCTTACACATTTTTCACATAGCAAAAGGGAACAACAGAAATTTACAGCATATGATATTGACATCCTAATACTACAAATCTTTCTTGAAATTTCAATTTTCAAATATAAATACATATAAGAAAGGCAAAAGGTAAATTAACAATTTCACGGACAATATACCCTCACCTGAGATGTTTCTTCTTCTTCTTTCTTTTCCACCATCAACGAGTCTTTCTCTTCACCACATTCTCTTTTAGTTGATAACGTATTCACCCCCTATTTAGTTTTATACCCCAAAAAGGAAAAAGAAAAAAGATCTTTCAATCCCAATTTACACCATATGATATTGACATCCTAATACTAAAAATCTTTTTCGAAATTTCAATTTTCAAATATAAATACAAATAAGAAAGGCAAAAGGTAAATTAACAATTTCACAGACAACCCTCACCAGATGTGATTCCACTGCACTTTCCTCCTCTTTCTCCTCTTCCACGGCCATATCCATCGCAGACACGAATGGGTTTTCCATATCATAGGCACGGCTCATGGGAATCCAATGTAGCTTATAAACCCTACTTGAGTCCTTCGTTCAGTTCTACCACAACTCCTGGGTCAATCTTCTTCCCTGAAACCCAGGTCCCGTGAACTGCACCCCAAGTAAACGGCAAGATTATCAATCCAAGTACATCAAGAAACCAATGAAACTTGAATAAAACAACAAACCTAGGAAAACCCAGAAATAAAACATGAAAAAAAAGGAGAAGGGAATTTAATACCCGATGATAAGTCGATGACGGAGAGTTTCTGGGAAGAGGGTCTGGAGTGAATTTGCAAGTGAAATCTGCTTATGCTTGGATGAGTAAACATAATGTTGCAATCTGGGTGTCTTCCAACAATCAAAATCTCCTCAGCTTCTGATTCTTGAATGAGCGAGTCTTCTTCATCTTCCGTATCTCGTGGGTTTTTTATGACAAATATGTTCTTGAGAATTGCTCCGTTCTTTACCACTGTAAACACTGGAATTTCCCTCTCTTTTTCTTCGGCCATTGTTGACGGGAAACAAACAGAGGAAATGGCGTTTAATTGAGATCTGAGGTTTTACGATTTGGGGTTTAATCTGTGAATTCTTAGTATTTATATAATGTTTTCTTGCAAGTAAAATGGCGTTTTCTTGGAGGGTTTTTGATTTTGAATATTTGAAAAGGAGACCGTTGATATTATAGTAATTCAGTAATTCTTCTATAACGGCTGTTGGAGCCCACTTAATTCTTCTATAACCTGTCGTGTTGGTAGTATTGTTAGTAAAATTAGTAAATTACACCATGAAGACACTTAATTATTAGCATGTTTTTGTTTTGGTCATTAAACTTTAAATTTTATAAATATATCACTAATGTTATCGATTGTTTCTTTTTTGGTCACTGAAATTGATAATGAAATTACTAATGTGACCTTTTTAAAATTGGTATAATAACACTTTTAATCCTCAACACATATATATTCTATCAATTTAACATTGATTCTAATTAAGTTAATAAATTTAACATTTCATATTTTTAAATTATATCAATTTAATCCTTAATCACTTCGTTATCATCCATCATTATCAACCCCACTAACAACCATCATCTTCAGTCTCACCACCTTTGTCCATCCATCCATTATAAAATTGTATCATAACAAGCCTAAATTCATTCTTCGCCCTTGTTTGTATCTGTGTTGACTGCTATGGTCTTGTCTCTTGGCTTGCTGTTGTTGGTTCAGGTTTCATCATTGGTTTTGGCTTTAGATGGTTGTGTTGAAGTGTGTTGGTTGTTGTGTCCAGTCTCCATTGTGCCTTTGACTGTAGCGGGTTGTTATTCTGCTGGGCTTGGGAGTTAGGATGGGTCCGGTCTTTGTGCTGTATAGGCTGGGATGCTGCTGTTTTGGTGACTGTTTGGGGGCTGGTCGCTCGCTCCATGCTGATATAGAAAATCCTTACCGTAAAGTTAAGATAGTAGATGTAGATTTAAAAGTTAAACTATTATAAATTATTGTACAAAATTTTCTATCATTTCTCTTCTATACTCAAAATATTTTAAAGGCCAATTTACCCCATTTTGAAAAAAAAAAAATTTATCTTTGAACTTCAACAATCCTAATAAGTACGAAGAGTAAAAATTGAGAAGGACTCGTATGAAAAGAATTCATTAAAGTACTGAGAATTGTTCATCAATTAAGAATTTAGAGGTAATGATATTTTTTAATATTTTAATTAAAAAATATTACTATTGATAATAAATTATTATTTGATAATGATATTTTCTGTGAATCAAACGTGAGAATATAATTTTAAAAAAGATTATTTCTTTTAGTAACAATATTTTCCATAATCTAAAATTCTTTAAATATAACGAATATCCCTTTAATTATTGAAATGACTTAATTCAAATTATATTAGTTTTGTTACTTAAATTTAGACGAAAACAGCCATCTAAGCAGAACCAAGAAAAAAAAGCAAGACATCAATATAAATAAAATTACGACTTTTTACAATATTAAATACATTATTATTCAATTATAAAAACAAATTTTGATTTTTTTTAAAACACAATAAAATAAAAAACTTTTGCTCTTTTTGTTTACAAGAAGGGCTGTTCTTCATAGGTTTCTTAACTTTCCTATTAAAAACAGAGAATTTAAAAGCTCTCTTCTCTATTCCCAAACAGACTACCAACAAAACCCTAAAATCCATATCCTATTAATTTTTTTCCTTCACCAATCTTTATTTTCTTCTTTTATTTGTCTCTGGCTTTCACTTTCGTGGTGTTTTCCCCCTTCTTTCACTGAAACTTTCTCACTCGTTTTCTTTCTTGTGCTCTTTTTTATTGTCGTAATTATTCCTTTTTTCTCCCGGAACAAAACGCATTGGTTGGATTGGGAGACGGTTATTTTTATAGAACGGTTACGTTTTCAGGCCATAGCTTGGAATCGTAGCGGCGGCTAGGTATACTCTTCAGTCTATTTCATCTGCCCTCTTTTAAATTTTGTTCGAATTTACCAGTTCTTCTCGTTGCCCCTATGGGTTCAATTCCTAGTAGTCGGGAACTTATAATCAAAATTTAATCTTGGGGTTTTAATAATATCCTCAATTGATTGTTATTCAATGTTGTCTTCCTAAATTTAACTGGCATTCGGGTGTTAGTAATTTTGGAAAGGTCTTTTTCCTTCGTTTTTCCCAAGTTGTTGATTTGGAAACGGAGCTGGATTTTTTCTATTTTATTTTATTGGGAAATACGAGGGTCTTTTGAGATTGCAGAATCAGTAATCTGCAAGTCTATCTTTTAATAAAAGATGGAAGAATGGGGGGACGGAGAGAGATAATTATACAGCTTCCTAATTGGCGTTGCCATTGTTTTCGTAGGCACCTCTCACACTTGTTTTAGAATTCTTTTTCGTTTGATCAAACAATCCCTTTGCCATTTGGTGAATGACCCTGTTATATTCAGAGACCCTGATTTTTCTGGTTTAAACGACCAGGGATGGTGTTAAGAGTTTGGGAGTTTGTGTAGAAGAGAATCACTTTTCTGGGTTAGGGTTTGAAGAAGTGTTTTTTTTTTTCTGTTTCCGTTTCTAGTTTCTGATGATCATATTCAATATCCCTTATGGAAAGTAGAGAACCAACTTTTGTTCCAGAATGGATGAGAAGTAATAGCGCTGTTACTGGTGGTGGCAATTCAGCCCACAACTTTGCTTCCTCTTCTTCCCACTCAGGTACCGTTTCAGCAACTTTTAAACATCTATTGCACTTCTCGTTTTATTTATACTTAATTACAATGTTACTGCTCGATTTGTATATTGTTAGACACACCTTCCATGTGCCCACTTTTTATACTCATTGTGTTTGCATATCATTTCAGGAATATGTAGTGACTAAATGATTTTTGTTGTGTTAGATTTTTCTTCAGGGCATCATGGGAGACATAGAAACTCTAGGAATATAAGTGATTTTGATTCCCATCGTTCAACATTTTTGGAGCGGACATCTTCGTTGAATTCACGGATGAGTTCTAGTAATGATTCCGCAAAGCATGCATACAGTAGCTTTAGTAGGAATCACCGTGATAAGGATCGAGATAGGGATAAAGTGAGGTTGAATTTTGGGGACCATCGGGGCTGTGCTGCTTCTGAACCTTTAGAAAGTCTCTTAGCTGGTAGGGTTGAGATAGAAACATTGCACCGTTCAAATTCTATGTTCTCTAGGAAACAGGGTGAGCCTTTGCCTAGAAGTGTCAGGGTGGATGCTAGAGGCAGTATTAACAGTAACCATAACAATGACAATGTTATGCTTTCTGGGGTTGCTGTTGGAAGTAGCATCCACAAGGGTGTGTTTGAGAGAGATTTTCCCTCACTTGGAACTGAGGATAGGCAAGTGCTGCCTGAGATAACTAGAGTCTCGTCTCCTGGTTTGAGCTCAGCTTCTCAGAATTTGCCCATCGGTAGTTCAGCATTGATTAGTGGAGATGGATGGACCTCAGCTTTGGCAGAAGCCCCCAGTGTGGTTGGAAGTAGTAACACAGGTTCCTTGACTACCCCCCTAACTGTTTCCACATCATGTTCTGTGACTCCAACTGGCTCATCGTGTCTTAATATGGCTGAAGCACTAGCACAAGCTCCTTCACGGTCCCATACTTCTCCGCAGGTAACTGATCAGTGACTAAGTTCTTAATACATCAATCCCTGATCTAATTAGAAATTTTTGTTTCATACAGTTATCTGTCAAGACTCAGAGGCGTGAGGAACTGGCTATTAAGCAATCAAAGCAACTAATACCAGTGACACCTTCAATGCCCAAGGGTTCGGTAAGAAAATTTTCAACTTACTATTTTTTCAAGTCTACTATCCAGTTTAATTTCTTGTATTATCTGATACAATTATTAGTTCGGTTAGTAAGTTTCATAGTAATTTGAATTTCTTAAAGCTACAGTTGGTGATAATAATATTCTTCTGCATAACTTCTCATAAACTTGAAAGTCACAATGTATTGCTGATATTTGATGTTGCTAATTTTAATTTAGTGTAGATATGGAATTACATTTTTTGTGTCTATTCTATGCTGAGATCGTTGATCATCTTTCCCAATCATAATTGAGAGTCAAGAATGAGATTTGGAAAGGAACTCATTAGGTCCCCTGCGTTTTGTTTAATCAGTATCTTCAAATTAATACAGTCAATTTTAATATAGTGTAGATATGGAATTACATTACTGTGTACACTGTATAATATGCTGAGATTGTTGATCATCTTTTCCAATCATATTTGAGAGTCAAGAATGAGTTTTGAAAAGGATCTCTTTAGGTCCCATGCATTTTGTTTAATCAGTATCTTCAAATAAATACACTCAATTGATGAACCTAAAACTTTTCAAGCAGTCTACTCACTATTTAATGTCAGAATTTAAATTAAAAACATTCATGCTTATTTATTTTTTCTTTTTCCACTCTGAATTTGTTTATTTACTTTTTGGGCTTGAAGTTCACGAGGACTTCTCTTCATGTGAGTTTCCTCGTATAAACTTCAGATGGAATTATAATTGTTCTTGTTCATTTTCAAGAGCTCTTCAAATGCCAAGATTAACTGAAGTTAGCAAGCTTCTTGTCATCTCATGTTCTGGACGTATCTCTGTTCTTTTTGTTACCTGTCTACTGCACGGCCAAATAATTATTTATTTAGTATTTTCAAAATTCTAGGTAATAACTGCCTAACATTTTGTCCCAGGTTCTCAATTCATTGGATAAATCAAAAGGCAAACCAGCCGCCAGAACAAGTGAGATAAACATAGCTGTGAAGAGTGGGCAGCAGCAACCTGCTTTGATTCATCATGGTAATCAATCTCCTCATAGTGGACATATCAAGTCTGATACGCCGAAAACATCTGGGAAACTTTTAGTTCTCAAACCGGGATGGGAGAATGGTGTCTCATCCCCAACTCAAAAAGATGTTAGTCCAACAAGTGTGAACAGCAAAGTTACAATTAGCCCACAAGCTGTTGGTTCCACAAGAAACTCAAACAGCCCTAAGCTTTCTGCTGGCGAACGTGAGGTAGTTGCTTTGAATTCAGTAGCTGGGTTCAGTGTGGAAAAGAGACCCTTTTTGGCTCAAACCCAGAGCCGAAATGACTTTTTTAATCTGCTGAAGAAGAAGACCTCAGCAAAGACTTCTGCAGGTCACTCAGATTTACTCCCTCATATTTCATCTTCTACCTCAGAGAAATCTGAAGTTACAAAAGTAGTTAGTGCCTCTTCTACTGCTCATGCTAATGGAAATGGTATGGCTGCAACTGGCAACGGTGATGCCTGTCAAGAGTCTCAAAGTTTTGCTGCTGATGATGAAAAGAATATGGACTCTTCTTCTATGACTCATCCAGATGAGGAAGAGGCTGCATTTCTCCGTTCTCTTGGTTGGGAAGAAAACGCTGGTGAAGATGAAGGCCTTACAGAAGAGGAGATCAATGCTTTTTATCAGGAGGTAAGATACTTCTTTCTTTCTCATTCTGTTTGTACTTTCCCGTTACTGATGGAATGCATTGACTCAATAATTTTTCATTGAAGTTATTCAATGACTTATGCCTTAGTGTTTCTAATGAACTTTGATGTATACCAAAAATTAAATGGAGGATGAGCTGATCATGCTCATCTGTTGGACGGTGAACATGATAAAAATATGTTATCATTATAGTGATGAGAAAATTGTAAAGGTTTGGTGTACTTGTCTACTCAATATCTCTCATTGTCTTGGAGCAGTTTATTGTTTTACAAAAGATGCGAAATGTTTATGCGCTATTTGCTTATTGTGTATTCATTTGGCTTTGTAGTGCATGAAATTGAGGCCCTCACTGAAACTGTGCCGTGGCATGCAGCCTAAGCTGGCTCAATCTTTTGCAACTAATTTGGATGGAGCTGCTTCTGAACTGAGCTCCTCTCATCCCGGATCCAAAGCTTGACTTTCTTTGTCCTTACATAGTAAATCCAAAGTGTTTTTCTTTAAATTTATTTTATGGCAAATGATTAGATTTTCCCCTTCTTTTTTGATTGAAAGAAAGCTGATGAGTTGGGGTGGTGGTGGTGGTTTGGTTTGATGGTGCATTTTACAAATAGAGCAATAATTAAGTCCTCTTACCCGTCTATATAACAGAGAATCTTTTAGGCTTACTGGCCGGGGGAAACTATTTTGATTGCAGTCGGGAGATGCTAGAAATTTGCATCTTTAGGAGATATTTCTTTCTTTTCACTTTTACAAGAAATAGCTTATTGGTGATTTTGGTGAATTTTACCGAATGAAAGAAGGAAATCAAAAAGTTCCATTTTTTTTTTTATTTATTTGGGTAAACTACTTCAAATGTCACTCATCTTTAAGCTCGGGCTTGAAAATGTCATTGACGTTTCTGTTTTGTCAATTTTATCACAGATGTTTATGTTTCACTGCAATTATGCTAGCTCGTCGTTAATATGTTAACGTAATGATGACATGGCGTTTCAATATCGTAACGGTGATGACATGGACTGTTTTATTAAAACGACGTAATTTTTTAAATGATTATTTTTATTCCTAAAACGGTGTAGTTTTGTGAATGACTTTATTTCCAAAACCTATTAAACTATTCATTTATATTTTATTATTTCCAAAACCTACTAAACTATTCATTTATATGTTATTATTCTTAAAACAAAATTAAAAGCGTGAAATGGTTTCCTCAAAACCCATCAGATGAAGGAACCAAAATCCATCGGATGTTAAAAAAATTCTAAAAATTCTCTGTAACTAAAAAAGATTTTTTTCATTTCACCTTTCACTGCAAAAGTAAAATAGAGAAACGATTCATGCGATTCAAAGTAAATACGAGCATGAAATATGGTAATGGTGTTTGAAAAGAAAATGTTTTTTTTGAAGATTTGTTCGAAATACTTTAGGGTTTTTATATGAAAACATTTTATCTCTAAATATTTGTTGTTTTCTTCGTTAATTATGTATATGAAATAGGGTTTTCTTTGTTGGTTTTTTATAGGTTTGTGATGAAATATGATAGTTATGGGTTTTGTTTTTTTGTTGGGATGATTTTTGTTTTTTGTTGTTGGGTTTTTAGGGTTTTATACGATCTAAATATGATGTGTCTTGCAATCCTACTATACTTTATTTGTTGGTTTGTATTTGTTTTTCTCTGTCTTGTGATTGTTGCTGAATATGACTTTTTATATGTTGTTGTTCCATATGCTTAATAGGTTTTTTATCTTGTGATTGTTGCTACTTTCCCACATGAATATAAAGTTGTTGCATATGATTGTATTGAATGAATAGTTTATCCATATAAATGTATATTGCTGCATATTGACTATTTTTATACCTTTTTATGGTTGATGGTTGTTGCATCAAAATTGTTGCTTATATTAGTTGTTCTAAAGTTGTCATCAATGATGGTCCTAAATTTTGTTTTTTTACAAGTTTGCATGTGAATTATGGCCAATCTACTGGGTTTTATATATTTGTTACCATTATTCTAAAAGTAGGGTAAGGAGACCACCATTATTCTAAAGTATTTTTTTAATAATAATTGATTTTTTAATGAGTTTTGACAAATAGAGAATCTGAATATTTCATAATTGTTATGGACCATAGTGGCTTTATGGTAAATTCATCTGGTTTTAAATACACTGGAAATGAAGTAAGTTTTATTGATATGTGCCATGTGGACAGTATGTCAATGCTTGAAATGTATGATATTGTGGAAGAGTTAGGTTATTCTGGTTTGTAGCATTTGTTTTGGAAACAATATGGGCCTAAATTTACTGTTAAGCCATTAAGAACAGAATGTGATATCATTAGCATGTTAGAAGATATGCCCCGAAATAGGCACATTCATTTGTACTTTGAAGATAATGAAGTAAACTTTTCGAAATAAACCACAGAAACCATATATCAAAATGCAATTGAAACTCATGAAACTGTTATAATTGAAATGCATGAAACTCATGAAACTTATGAAACATTTAAGTATGAGTTAAACTCTGAATAATATACAAAATATGTTACTGATGATACTAATTCTTTTGATAGTGGTTTTGAATACAGTGAAAACGATGTGAGTGAGGAAGATGGGTCTATATATGAGGTACATGTGAGAGTAGATTTTGATAGAGAATTTAATGGGTTAAACAATAGATATGAAGGAAATATTGATGCATCTTTGTATAATGAAAATGAAACTGATGGAGTAGAGTCATTGCATACTGAAAATGAATCTGATTCTGACTCTTACTCTGACTCTGATAGTCAAGGAAAACATAGAAGTCCTGAGTTTAACCATGAAATTGATATGGAAAACCCACAATTTAAAGTTGGAATGATTTTTAGTGATAAGTTGAAGTTCAAAGAGGCTGTCAGGCAGTATGAGATTAAAAATAAGGATGATATCATATTTAAAAGAACTGACAGTGTTAGGGTGCATGTTGTTTGCAAGAAAGGGTGTCCGTGATATATTTGGGCATCAAGGTTTGATCGACAAGATGACACAAACACCTCATGATAGATAAAGTCTTATGTAGGAGAGCATAATTGTTTGATGGGTGATAACTCCGTAAAAAGATTACATTTTAGGTCTTTTTACTTAAGTTATTGATTGTCTAAAGCCATTGACAAGCATTTTAGCTGCATATAGTTGAATTTAGGACATATTTTCTTGAGGTGGATAAGTTTTGCCGAGGCAGAGTTTATTTGATTAAATTGATGTTGCTGATGAGAAATGTTGTTTGTTGATTGTGATGTTGCAGGAAATGACCGAGGAAGAATTTATTTGCTGAGACAAATTAATTTGCTAGGGCCAGTGGAACAGAAGACGACGAGAGTGAAGAACAAATTTTCTAGCCAATGCGAGTTTTATCTCTCTAGTCTGACACAGTACAAGACAAAATTGCTGACGTCACATGGTCAGCTATCCAATCTACCTCATATGAAATCATGCCCTCATCAAGGAACTTGAGACCACCACAAATTGCTATGTTATTCACAAAAAGGGTTTATCTTCAAGGGTATTTAGGGAATTTTCAAGGGAACTAAACCCTATAAATTCCACTATAAATACCCCATTATAACTCTTCATAAAGTGTTCAGAATAATTAGAGAAAATACCCTAGGCTAGGAAAAGGCGTGTAACACCCCCAACCCGTATCCGACCAGGATACGAGTCTGAAGTGTCACATTGACTTTTCGAAAATTTATTCGTATAAAATAATGAGTAATTTAAAAACTTTTATAACATTTAAATTATTCAAAACATTTACAAAATTATTCAGAGCTTATACAATATATTCTTTTGATTACATGCCAACTAGAACTTTATATACAAAAATACATATTATTCACCTCTCTTCTGATCTGACATTCGGTGAGGAGAACTGACCTGTCTTGTTCCTCTTTACTTTTCTTTTCGCTTTCCAAACCTACGTGTGAAACAATCACACGCTAAGTCGATGACTTAGTGAGGCATATAAAACATATAATATTTCATATAACATAAAGCATACATAAACATATACCATCATTATCATTAAGAAACACACATAACATCATATGGTTCATATAGCACATTTGAAACCACTAACCTTTGATAACCATTTATAAACCCATCGTATACATATCACATTCAGTATGCTTGTTTAATCACTTTATTAGCCCATGTACACTAGTGAGAACTTAAGGTATGTGAGTACATTGAGGTTGTGCACACATATGCTGTCACCACAGCTCGATCAATGTCCCAAAAGACCAGTCCATAGATTCCGAAGAACCTAGGTAATCAGTCCATATGTCCCGAAGAACATAGGTAAACAGTCTATATGTCCCGAAGAACATAGGTAAACAGTCCATATGTCCCGAAGAACATAGGTAAACAGTCCATATGTCCCGAAGAACATAGGTAAACCCTCGACCCTTGGCATGCCAACTATACCCCTAGCTCTCATATCACATAACATGGGCATTATCATTTATAACAGTTCACATTACTTATTCATATTCTTTCTCTTATAAACACATATCTTTTCTTTTCAGTCACGTATCACATGTACGTGTAATCATTGATCTCATAATCACATGTTCCTTCTCTTCTGTCACATACCACATGTATGTGTAAACATATATCTAATATCATATGTTGCATGTAATCACATAGATCGTATCATATAGCTTCTTTCACATATACATGTAATCACTTAGTCTATTTTCATGTAATTCTTTTCACCTCTCATATGATTTTATATTCATATCTCACATAGCTCATATCACCTTGCATTGTTTCATATAAACATAGATGTCATATCTTGTTCGCATATATTTTCTATATAACTCATATATCTCATAGTTCTTTCACATAGCTCACTATCATATTTTCATATCATATATCTTATAATAGATTCTTATATCATCATTTGTTTCCTTTCTACCTATTCATAATCACATAACATATACAAAGCATATCATTATCTTTAGTCATACATACATACAATCAATGTAATACAGATAATCACATATAATTATAACAACACATAATCATGTCCATGACTTCATGCATATTACTCTAGGAAATAGACTCATCGCAAGTCTTATTTCCATTAAACACTACATATCACTAGTATGCACTCACCTTGGTCTCACTAGTCAATTTGAATCTCTTATCTTTCCCTTGATCGATCTTACTTGTGAAATGTTCCGGAATTGCTTTACGCGCAGAATCTACATAAATGTACATTTTGAGGCAATCATTAGATACCTACACCTTGTAATTGGATACTAGCAACTTAAACAAACTTATTAAACCAATTTTCACATTTTTCCTTTAGGGGGTATCGATTCCCTACTGGGGGTATCGATACCCTCATGACATTATGGAATTCTGTCGTTTGAGAGGGTATCGGTACCTCTTTGAATGGGTACCGATTCCCCCTAACCCAGAAATCATTTTTCAGCACAAAAATTACTTCATTTCCTCTCAAACACTTCATATATCATCCCCTTTTTCATTCTTAACTCTACTACACATACTTAAACCAATCTATATTCATTTATTTCATCTTAAACCTCAAAATCCTATCTTCCATATATAATTCAATTATTACTTCAATTTTGCAATATGTTTCAAATCCAATTCTATTACTTCATATCTCTTACTTAGATTGATAACAAGTCAAATCCAACTTTCAATTTTTGTTATGAACTCTATTCCCATATTTCATTCAAGAACCTCTAATCTTTAATCTTCTCTATCTCCTTTATCTTTTGATCTTAAGATAACTTAAGCTTTCCTTAAGCTTAGTTATCAT